TGCTCATGTTCTATCATTCTTTGTAAGTTATCTTGGAGCTCGCTTCTGGGAGAGAGACAAGGTGGAAGGATCAGGAATTTTAAGGCAACCCACTTGTTCCTTTTTTATGCCCCTAGTGTTTGCAGTCTCCATACTTGCAGAATCTAACTGTAGTTGGGAGTTTGTGTTTGCTAAGCTCATTGAAACAGGATCTCTGCAGAGCAGAAAACAACAGCTATGATGATCAGGATCTGTGACGTACAAGTGTGTGTGATTTACTTACTGAGATTGCAGCGTCCTGAAGTGATCTAGGTTGTCATATTTGGGTGGGCCATGTGGCTCATTACTGTGCTTAAATCTGCCATGGGACATTATTGCAACTATTTTTTTCAACTCTCAAAAATGTTATACACAACATTTCTGTATATTCAGGTTTAAAACACCATTCAAAGTTTCCTTGCCCAATTCTGTGACATTTTGGGTGTTATGTACTAAAGACAGTTGTAATCTGTGGAAAATTTGCAGTATAATTGAGAATAAGAGGCTGGTTGTACAGTACTTAGGTTTTCTATTTGAAACTAATAAAGCTACCCTCCTGGAGACTGTTATTTGATGTTAGATCACTATGTGTATTGTCTTAGCATTTTAGATGTTGACAGGTAAATAAAATATGCTAATGATTTAATCCCAACCAAGTGAACCAGCTATTGACTGCTATTGTAACAAAACATACATTTGCTTCTTATTTGCATGACTAGTAAATGTCTGCCTCTTCAGAAAAGGCAGAACTTGCAGCAAAACACTATCAGAGTTGGAATGCCAACCAGCCAGCTGGCCAGTCATGACCCTACTCCAGGATACTATCCCACCTTTTTTTCAACTCTTTTCTGACAGCTAACGTTCTGTGTCTACCCGGTATGCTTACTACTACTACTACTACTACTACTACTACTACTACTACTACTACTACTACTACTACTACTACTACTACTACTACTACTTCTTCTTCTTCTTCTTCTTCTTCTTCTTCTTCTTCTTTTTGAGTTTACTCACTTAGATTGTTGTGCTTAGCTTCAGGAGTGGGACATCCTCCTGTAAGTCTTAGATTTCTCTGGGCAGGCTGTTTACTCTTTTTCTTCATAGCTGTGTTTTAACTATAGAACATTTACTATCTTAATTTGATAACAATATCAATATCATACATTTAAAGTGCTCTCCATTTTGCACAACCTTGCCTTCACATCAGTAGAGTATCAAGACATCATTATTGGCTGGAGTAAGCGCTTTCACAAAAGTGCACAATACAGCTGATGCCAAATGTGCAACTTCCTTTCTGTTTAATTGTTGAAGTTACCTTGTTAGCAGCAAAAAGAAACAGCAGTTGACCTTTAACATTCCATAGTTGACTTCTTCCCTGTTTCGTTTGTATGTCTTAGAGATATAGCTTAGAAAGCATATATAGATTTATGCATAAGCTCTTTTAACTGTAACTTCTGTGTTACAATAAAGAGATACTTTCTGGTGCATTCTGTTTGTGTGTGTGTGTATGAGTGAGTGCGAGGGGGGGATATCAGTACCTCTAATTGCATCGTAGAGTCCTCCAGATAATGGTATCCAGAATCATTGTTTAATAAACAGGGAGCCCTTGACAGCACTGTTTGGTTACATATGTAATGCTATAAGATGGCATCAGGGTTAGACCTTCCTTTTTTGTTGAGACATACTTGTAACATATATACTAATAGATTGATTTATTCAGCCCCTGCCTTTATGTGTAACTCAAATGGTATGTATCATCAGTGAGAAGAGGGCTTCTAGGAATGGCAACATTTGCAGAACAACAGTAACACTTCTGAAAATAGCCCAGTGAGGAGAGAGCATGCTTAGTGCACTTAGAATGCCAGAATGTACTGTATTTTTCCATGTATAAGATGCCTCCCACCCCCCACTTTTCCAACCCACAATTAAGAAATCTAAGTGGGTCTTAGCAATTGGAGGGAGAAAGCAGGGATCAAAGCACTTTGATTCCTGCTTTCCCCCTCCACTTTCTTGCCAAGAAAGTCCCTGCTTTCCCACTCCACTTTCTTCGCAAGCAAGTGGAGAGGGAAGGCAGGGATCAAAGCACTTTGATTCCTGCTTTCCCCCTCCACTTTCTTGCGATGAAAGTGTTTTTCCCTCCACTTTTTTTGCAAGGGAGCGGAGGGGGAAAGCAGGAATCAAAGCACTTATATGATTCCTGCTTTCCCCCTACACTTTATTTATAACCCATTTAGATTCTTGTAATATGCTTTATGTGGGGCTGTCTTTGGAAAGTATTCAGAAACTTCCCCTAAATCATTTAGAGGGACCATGTGGTTCCCCTGTTACCAGAGCTGTAACCGTTCACTGGTCCTTTCTGGAGAGGGGAAGCACTTTCTTTGCAAGAAAGTGAAGGGGGAAAGCAGGAATCAAAGCACTTTGATCCCTTCCCCCTTACTTCCCTCAATTTTTAATCTAAAGCTTTTAGACAAAAGTATCATCTTATACATGGAAAAATATGGTACTATACTAGAGCTTCTGGAAACCTGAACAGAAGTACTTCTGTACTATAACATTGTTGCAGGCGACACATTTTCATTTACTGTCATATTTTGTTTAATGACGGCTTTCTGGACTATAGAGATGTCCAAACTATTCCAGAAGCCTGTAACCTTATTTCCTAGGAGCCCTAGAAATGCTTCTGAAGAATTCTAACTGGTAAAATTAAGTCAGTATCAGAACAGATGTATGCAGTTTCTCTGGGATATTACTCAGTATTCCATTCTACCTCTGCTTATACCTCTTTGCACATTTGCAAGTTCTGGACAGGCAAACTGGGCCATACTCGTGTTTTTAGTAGACAGGCCCTGCAATTTAATGTACTGAACATCCATTAGATCTATGAACAGCCCTGGCCCACTGTTAGGAGAGGCAGATTTTCACACACTGTTCTGAAATGAATCAGTTAGTGGAAAGCAGACAGCATCACACCACATTTTAAATGGTGGATCTTAGCACTCTGCTAGTCATTACAGGATTGTATGTTGGATCTGGCCACAGACACACATACTTTAGTTATAACCCATTTAGATTCTTGTAAAATGCTTTATGTGGGGCTGTCTTTGGAAAGTATTCAGAAACTTCCCCTAAATCATTTAGAGGAACCATGTGGTTCCCCTGTTACCACAGCTGTAACCGGCCACTGCTCCTTTCTGGGCACAATTTAAAATGCTGGCTATAATATACGAAGCCTAACAATTTGATTATTTAAGATAACAAGTAGAACTTGGCTACTTGAAAGACAATTTTCTTCCATATGAGGCTGGGGTTTTTGTTCTACCACTGTATATTCTTAGTGGCTGCTTTCAAGCTCTGGCATTCCTTGGCAAGTGAGTCCAAATAGTTCTGTCTCTGTTCTTCCATGGACTGTTCTTCCATTATTATTTATAGACTGTTGTGGCAACTGAATTGATATGTTACTGGAACTGGTTTTCATCTGACATGCCTCCCCCCATTACTGAAGTGGATTTTAAAAAAAAATTATGGTTTCATTTGGGCTTTCTTGCTATCTATCTTGAGGTCTGATGTTCAGTTGAAAAGCAGGACGTAAATTAAACAAATACGTCCATTTTATTGTGAATGATAGCACAGGATAGTGGCCAAGAGCAAGTCCTCTATGGTGGGAAAGCTGTGGTTCAAAACCTGTATCAGTTATGAGCTCTCTGATGGCCTTCTGCAGGTAACTATTTTTTTCAGTCCCCCACTTGTAATAAAAGGAGTCACTTTGCTGGATTTCTGGGTATTGCCCATGAAACAGGGGCTTCTAGGAGCTGAAGTTAAACTGGTAGTTGGGGTACAGGTTGGGAACTGCAGGCTCAGAAGTTATGTGGGAAGCATTAGAGCCCTTGAAAGAAATAGCATATCAGTTCAAAGTGTTAATGATGCAGTCTGACAGGCATTTAGCCTGCTATTTGGTCTCCTTTGGGGACAGTTTGGTTTACTCCCTTTTCCAGCAAACACCTAATGTAATCACTGGAGCGAAACAGCCAGCCCCGAAAGTATTCCTACCCATAACTTTCTGCGCCCCCATCAGGGGGTTCTATTTTTTTGTGGGTGTGTGTGGTAAAATTGTTCCATTTTGATTTGTTTCCAGTGTGTGCAATCATTGGAAACAAACCAAGTGAGCAGTGTGGCTGTCAAATTGCTTGCTGCTGGGAATTTGCCATATTAAGAAGGTTTGCAACAAATGGGGTACTGGACCTTTCCATGACCTCCAGTAACCCCGTTTAGCCCACTCCAAATGAACCTGTGTAGATAAGCCTCAGTTCACTTTTTACTGTTACTACATGCTTTTGCTGTGGATATTTGTGGTCTCTTTCCATAAAAAAGACTTGAGATCCATTCTGATTCTAACTAAATGCAAGTTAATGTATTTCCTTCTACAATGAGCTTTATATCTCGACTTAAGGATTTGGTATTTTGACTCCTTCCTTTTGGTGCTGGAGATGATATTTTCCCAAATAAAATTGCATTTATATTGGCATGAGCGCATTACAGTATTGTGTGACATTTAGAATTGCTAAATATATTAAATTAACCTTTGAGAGTAGGAAGGTTTTTTTCCTCCTAGGGTCAATATATACTTCCAAAGCCATTTCAGTTAAGAATTATTTAAACAATTATTTGTTGTGGCATTTTGATTACCAAAATCCTATTAGTTATGCCCATTGGCATAAAAATAGAATTTTGAACACTAAGACCACTACGTGCGCTTGATTTTATCCTATGTACTGTATTTAATTATGGACTTTTCAAAATCTACTTCTTTGTTACCTTCTGGTGGTGTCTGCAAAAAGCCTGATTGGCTGTTTCACAGTAAACTGAACTTTTGTCACCGCTGAACTGAGCCCTAGCTGAGGGTCATCTCTTGATGATAGATTATTTCATTTAATTGTAAACAGCCAAGTTTTTGTTAACATTACAGGATTTTTTTTTTCTTGCAGGTACGATTTGTGAAGAATGTAACTTCCTGGAAGGATATGAAACCTGGGTTTTATCACGGACATATATCCTTCTTAGATTTTGCAAAGTAAGCTTTCTGGGCGGTGGCTCCTCGCCTCTGGAATAATTTACCCCCTGATATTCGCGCGGCTCCCTCGCTGGGTATTTTCAAAAACCAACTAAAAACACTGATGTTTCGGCAGGCCTTCCCCTCAATCAACTCCTGATCTTTCCTTCCTCTCCTTTCCCTTTGTGTTTGTTCTGGTTGTCGAAAGTTGAAAGCTTTTCTTTATGTGATACTGTTTTTATTTATATTGTGGTATTTTTTGTTGTAAGCTGCCTAGAGTGGTCCTAACCGACTAGATAGGTGGGATATAAATCGAATAAATAAATAAATAAGCTATTCAACAAACAGCTCAATTTGCCGCAATCTGAGCTTAAAATATTTTGTTGTCATTTGAAAGTGTTTTGGGAGTCACTTTAGACTTTACTGCCATCTAATGGTCAAGATCAGAAACTGCAGTTCTGAACATCATTTTTTTTTTTTGCTTTCAGCGACACCAGTCAGTATCTTTCCTTTCTTTGTATTATTGACTTGTCATTTTGGTAATCCTTCTTCGAAAGGACAAACACTTCCATTTCCTCTTAACATGTTTTGGCAATTAAAGCCCCAGAAATAATTCTTCATTAATCCTATAGCTTCTTTGTATTTCAAGGAAACATGTATATATTTGATAACTGTGAGCACATTCCATCTACTCCTAATTAACAAATAGAGAAATTAATCATTTTTTCATAGTTTTATTTCTTTATTTAGTATTTATGTAGCTTAATGTATTTTAAATTACCTGGATATCTCCAAAGTTATTATTATTTAGGCAGTGCTAAAGCTTTCCCAAGTGGGAAAAAGTTTGTCAAGTGGGATGGATTGACTCTACCATACAAGAAAACCCAAGAGCCTGGATGATCATTGTGGCCTTCACCTCCATCCTATGTACTACATCCTATGTACTAATCTCACCCTTCTTGCTTTGAAACAGTATCTAGGTGTCATAATGATCATGTGCCATCAATTCAATTCTGACTTACGGAGATATTTTCAGGGTTTTCCAAGTAGAGAATATTCCTAAGTGGTTTATCATTCCCTTCTTCTGGTGGTGTCCTGGGACTGTGCAGCTTGCCCAAGGCTACATGGGCTGATTGTGGTCACAGAAGGCACAGTGGAGAATCAATCTCTCAGTCTCTGACTTCACAGCCAGATACTGAGCTGAACCACTGGGCTATCACATCACATAATTAATGTGGAGGTCATGGGAAATATCATGGAAAATGGAAAGGAGAAATAAAGTTGTTGCTTTTTCAAAGCTTTAATTGGACCAGCAAACATACCTTGGGGTGTTTTTGAACTGTGACACAGCATATTGTTTATAATGTCCTTCCTTAATCAGCTTAAATCAATGCCATAGTGTGTTACTGTCTTCACAGGAGACTTATTTTAACAATTGCACTCCCCGATTACATAATTCAAGTGGTAATTTTGGAGCCAGTTAAACTGGTACTTAGCAGTAGCTCCGGTTTCTAACATTCTAAATATGGGGAAGGAGGCGGAAGTTAGTAGGCAAGCCCCTTTATCTTTCCAGCCATGGAGTGTCAGTCCTTTAGCTACAGTGTGAACATGTTGGATCCAACTTCACTGGCTATCCACAAAGTTTTAAGTCACAGAAATGTAGTTTAAGAGTATGTACGTGCCTACAAAGTTTTTCTAACACAAAATAATGTTGGTTAAATGTAATCACTGCAGTATTGATGAAGTACATGATCTATGGCTCCATGACCTGTTTTAGACCTTCTAGCCTCTTGGTAAACATCATTATTATGTATCTGTGCTTTATCCTGTATGTCAAGCTGAACAGTGAAAATGGCTCTACAGTGGTGCCTCGCTAGACGATAATCTGTTCCACTGAAATTGCTGTTTAGCGAAATCATTGTCTAGCGAAAACCATTTCCCCATTGGAATGCATTGAAACCTGTTTAATGCATTCCCATGGGGAAGAATTGTCGTTGTCTAGCGGAGATCGGCCATAAGAAAGCCACTTTGCGAACCGCCGATCAGCTGTTTAAATAGCTGTCTTGCGAAGCTTAGGTCCCGAAAACACCTGTTTTGCAAGCACGGAGGAAGCTGTCAAAATCGTCGTGTAGCGAAAATCGGTTTGCGAAGCAGGGACCAAACATTGTCTAGGGAAATTCCCCCATAGGAATCACTGTTTTGCGAATCGCTATAGCGATCGCAAAAAGTCAATGTTTAGAGAAAAAACTGTCATGCGGGGTAACTGTCTAGTGAGGCACCACTGTATAAGTGTCAGTTGATGTATGTGGGACAACACATTTTGTTTCCTTACAGAGTTGAGCAATGAGGGCAGAGTACACTTTATCTAAAGTGTGTGTGTGTTGCTCCCTCCTCACCAGTAAAACCACATATGAATAAGTTCTGGAACTCCATATACCCCAAACACAGGTGCATTATATCACAGGGTTTAAGAGTTGCTAGTACCATCCTTCTGTAGATTATACTGTACTGTAGTGAAGACTTCTCATTCCATGATTTACACATGACATCTTGAGCATGATCATAAGCTTAGCTCAAGGATGATCAGATTCCAATGGACCATGGGCCATTTCCCCCTCCTCTGAACTTCAGATGCTGCAGTTCCTCTCCAGTCCCCAATGAAATACCTAGAAATGTTGTGTTCCAAAATTGCAACCCACACTCCTTAGAGACTTCTCAGTGATTTGTTTTAGGCCTTAAAAGACCCTCTCTCTCTTTTAATGGGGAAAATTGTAGCCATGCATGTCTCAATGTCCGTGAGAAGGCATATCTTATTATTATTTACTGCTTGTCACTAATTTGAGTGGTAAAGTTATTCCCACCTCTCTCACTAGGCAGCTGCTTCTTTTTGTATGTTTTCTGGTTCCTTTGTTATTGCTTGCTCTTCTTTCCTGATCACTTTTTGAGAAGCGGGTAGGGAGCGTGTCTCCATGCTAGAAACTCCATTTTTGTCCTTTATCACCTTACTGTAAGTACAAATGGTAACTGATTAAATGTCACTTCTTTTTAAGATACATCTAGAATGATCACTTTTTACTACAAAATGGGCTAGACTGTGTGTCCCGATGGAGAAATTGTGAAACTGGGCTAAATCTCTCACACTTTTTGTATTTTTCTGCCTTATGTTCTGCTAACAAAAGAAATCAGCTAATTCCTAATATAAAAACTTTTTGTTTTACCAAAAAAATGCAACATTTTTAACAACCAGCAAAAGACTAGATAGGTGAAGTTACGTTTAAACAGCAAATTTTATAGCCTGGAAAGATCTAGGAAGTGTGATTTCCAATTTGGAAGCAAACTACTTTTCTGGGGTTCCCTATTGGGGCCTGGGTAGCTGAATGCAGTCCAACGGCCAAACCTTCCCTTCTCCTGATCTAGCTGGTAAAGATGTGGAGATTCATTACATGAACAGCAAGAGTGAGGACTAAAAAATGACAGAACACTTTATCCATAGTCTCATTATGTACATCCATTCTGTCTTGGATCATTCTCCATTACTTAACCATGATTAATCTGTAGGTAGAGCGAGATTCCAAAAGGGAATGAAACTGTTCAGTTTTATCTATTCCATGTATTGTGGAAAACAAGAAAAAAGCAAAGACAAAGAAGGTATGCATTGCAGATAAAGTTTTACCATAACCATGCCATATGAGGTAAAGAATGCCAAAGGCTACAACAGCAGGCGAAATGTTCCCATATGGAAACATTACAGGCAAAGAAATAGTTGCCAAAATTCAGTCTTTGAAAAGCAGTATGAGCATAGAATTGTTTTGTTTCCTCAACTTTCAGAAGTGCAGAATTTTATATTAACAGACTTCCTGTGTTGAATGTGAAATGAAATAATAAAGTTGTTAACTTTGTGAACTGCCAAGGTAAGTATTACTCTATTCTATGCATTATTGATAAGACAGAGAGCTTAAAACATTATGCAGTTACTGTAACTTTTCATTCTAAAACCATTTTACTTCAAAAAAAAGGATACTAAGCAATTTCACAGATTTCATTCATATGCATATTTCTTTCCAGGGACACATTATTCCTGTTTTTTTTATTTGATACCCTTTCACCTAGTGATTGATCCCTTCCACCAACAACTTGTGTTCTTCTATTAATGAGTGGTTTTTATTATTAAAGTAATGGAGAGTGCAGTGTTTGTTCTTGGCAATAAACAAGAGTGGTGTTGTACAGTTGATAATTATAGTGTCATTTGTTGGCATAAGTCTTTCATGTGTTTGCGTGTGTGTGTATGTGTGTGAGAGAGAGAGAGAGGGAGGGAGGGAAGGAGAGAAATAATTAGAGAACACTGTCACACTCACATATACTGATAAAATCACTTTGAACACAAACATTTTACAAGAGTGGTGATACAGTATTCTAGATGAGTGATTCTTAACCTTCATGTCCTGTGCCCCACCAATCACTGTTGCTATAGAACTTGGGTTCCACTATGAAAGAAAAAAGGTGCTTGCCTTTTTTTTTTTCCGGAAGAAGGCATTTTTGTGTATACAGGGATTATGTTATTTTAATGTTATTGTATATGGTAAGTTTTAAGGATGACAAAAAGTACAGTGGGATTGGTGGAGCTAAGCAAAAACAAAAATAGCCATTGCTTTAATATGACATGGACAAAGGGTTGCCTAAAAACAGCATGTACTCCCAGGGGCTAGTCTCCGAACGCCCTGCTTTAGTACCCAGTACAGCAAATTAGTCACTGCAGAAGCTTCTGAGTGCATAATTTGCCATCTAAATGTTATTTTCTTTCTTCCAAACTGGTTTTTAGTTCCCAAATATCTTATTTTAAGAAAGTAGAAGGAAATAAACAGTTAACTGCCTGTTTCTGAAAACATCCTCTCCCCTCCCCTTCTGAGGGTGGAACTCAGTACCACATAGGGCATTGTGTTTCCTCCATGAATCCCACCAAGTTCTTGTGTGGGCAAAAATGGCCCATGAACCCTTAAACATTGCCACCCTGCATTATTGGT